AAAGAAAAAGAAAAAGAAAAAGAAAAAGAAAAAGAAAAAGAAAAAGAAAAAGAAAAAGAAAAGAAAAGGAAAAAGAAAAAGAAAAAGAAAAAGAAAAAGAAAAAGAAAAAGAAAAAGAAAAAGAAAAAGAAAAAGAAAAAGAAAAAGAAAAAAAAAGGGGAGGAGGAACAATGAAATAGGGACAAATTAATTATTGGCTTCATCCTTCTAATTACGGTGGAACTGCAATGAGGCATAAGGTGACAGACGAATCAAAATTCAAATTTAGACAAATTTCACGGTGGAATTTTAAGATCAAAATGTTGAGGCTGGTTGTATTGCCTTCAGCAGAACTTTTTTGTTTACTGTTTTGCAAACTGTTCCCAAGACCTGAAGATCATACGTGACCAGTTTCCCTGGCCCTACCGCCAGATGCCCAAGGCATACATCACACACCTCCGGGAAAGAAGAGCTCTATGAATAGTTTACAAGAGCAAGTACTTTCCATGCGTCCCAAATTGGCACCTGTGGGATGGAGCTGCCCATCCCATTCACTGTGTCCACAGGAAACTCCCTGTTTACTCACTTCTTCCTACAATTAGGGTCTGGATGACCAAACAACCTCTGTCCCCGTACTGATAAGGTGAGAAGGAATCCCTCAAAGGAAAATTACTAGAAGCCAGGAAAATGGTCTGGGGAAGTGTTGCAGACGCCTGTTTGATTCGTTCAGTCTCCCCTAGGTATCCCTGGTAGTAAAGTAACAGAGATGGGGTACAGAGCAAGCAAGACCTTCATTTTTTTGTGAGATAGCTTTGGCATATGTGGGTAATGCACAAACTCAGTGCTCCTCAAGAGCAATAAATTGGCTGCCCTCCTTTAGAGTTAGTTAATTTATTTTCCTCCTGGGACTCATCAAGATCTCTTTGTAGATTCTGCCCACCCCTCATTTCATATCTTGGAATGCCACCAGAAGACAATTAATGACTAACACTGTCATACAGACTTAGAAACAATAAATATATTTATAAATATATATTAATGAGCTGAAACAAAATAGAAACTGTTATATATAAACATGGAATATAAACATCTGGGGAGCTGTTAGCCAGTCTTACCTGATGCGAATGATGTCATGATCATCACTGCTGCCTTGTTAACTAATTGCTGACATGGTGGTGATAGCAGTACTATGTGAAGACATGCAGCAGACATTGTCTTGTGTGTATAGATGAGCCACCAAGGGGAGATGGAGGCAAAAGAACAAGTATTCTGCACATAAAATTGAGGGAATCAGCAGAGACAGTAAGTTAAATCAACGATGTAAGCATGATAGGAAAGAGAAGAGAGAAGGCAAGAGTGGAGCAGCAACTCATCAGTGGAAGATTTAACCCAAGTCATGCCTGCAGTCCAATGGCACCATGGCTAATCCCAGGACAGTGCCTGCTCAGAAGTGTCCTCCACCACACAGATCTAATCAGCCCTCAACTCACAATATCCCCTTTGCCACAAAATGATCTCCACTCCATCTTACTCAGGCTAACAGAAAATATCCCAACCCTTGGCCAAGGGCCATCTACTCGGTGTCCATAAACCACCACAAAGCAAAAAAGGGCAAAATCCACTGTCTGTAGTATCAGATGATCTGGGGTGAGCGCAGAAAGTTTTTATAGGCATGACTTAAAGCTTCTGTGCCAAATTATGCATGGAGGTAGAGTTTGGGTTTTCTGGAATTATGTGTCTAGAAATAGAGATGATTGCCAACCTTATGTAAGTGTTTAAGACAGGCAGTGAAGAACATATCTGATGGGAACAAGAGGGAGAAAGTAGCTTCTGAGCTGATGAGTGATTCTTCACAGATGATTTAAATCAGTGTACTCTCAACATTAGTTGAGAGAGTTTAGCAAAAAATCAAGGTCACAGAAATGGAAATTTAATCACCAAGATCCCAGGGCCAACTCATCTGTTGTCTGAAACAAATCAGGCTATAAAGGGCTGTAGCACAATCCTCACTTAACATTTCAGCCAGAAAACAAATGTACTTGTTGGTTAAGTGGTAGGCTTTGTTCTGTGCTCCCACAAGTCGGGTTGTGCAGGATCTCTCTACTATTTGAACAAGAAACAAATGTCAGTGACTGCAAATTTGGTCTTGGCTTGAAGGACCTCTCTGGGAATTTTCCACTTAGGTGAAAGAACAGTCAAAGTTGAAGGGCAGAGGGAATGCATGTTGGTCCAGAGGCAAAACAACCAGAGAGACCAGAGGAACTTTAGCAAACTACTGTTACTCTGCCCTTTGGAAAAAATTCTTATCCTTTACCTCTGCTGGCATACTAGGAGGCCACTAGCAATTGCTAGGACAACTATATTGTTCGCAGTCTTGGAGGCAAGAGCAATTCCTCTGTTCTGCCCATAGATTTTCATGCCCCTGAGGCATCACTGACTTTCTTCCCACTCTGGAGAAAATCAAAGCCAGGCTGGAAGGTCTGTACATTTGTGTTCCAATACAGAATCACAGAATGGTCAGGTTGGGAGAGACCTCAAAGCTCATCCAGTTCCAAACCCCTGCGATGGGCTGGCTGCCCCCCACCAGCTCAGGCTGCCCAGGGCCCCATCCATGACCTTGAGCACCTTCCAGGGATGGGGCATCCACTCTTCTCTGGGCAACCTGTTCCACTGACTCAAAACTTGAATAAAAAAATTCCTCCTAACATCTAATCTATATCTCTTTTTGTTTAAGACTACTCCCCCTTATCCTGTCACTATCTGCCTTTGTAAAAGTCAGTCTCCCACATTTCGCACACTTCTGGATGGAACGAAAATGTCTTCCCATGTATTCTGTTCAGTGCTCTCCATAGAGAAAATTGGAACTCAGAAGACAGAGTTTCCTATGAGAATGACACTGGCATCTATAGTTTTACACCAATATTCAAGAGCTGCTTCTTGAACTCCACTCTCTGGTTAGGAGGAGAATCTGTCCTGACTTCCTAAATCTAGGAAAGAAGAAATATCTCAGACACATCCCCCTCCTCAGCATGTGCTGTCAGCTGCTCTGAGCACCCACTTGCTCCATACACTGAGTGCTGGGAATCCCCCTCCCCACTTTTGGGATGATGGTTCCCTTTGCATTAAAGTCTGAGTCTGCAATACCCTCTTATTGAGCTGCCCAGCTCAGCCCCTTTGTGGAGCTGGATCTGAGTGCTCAGGAACTCCTTCAGTAGGATCAGTGGTTATTTATGAACCACATGAATCACCCAGTGTGCCAGGAACTGAGACGGTGCATCACCCCATAACAAGCAAGATTCCAAGGCACGATGTCCACACAATTTGTTTTAATTTGGGTATTTTACAATTCAGAGAAATCAAAGCAGGTTCTAAAGACCATCCATGCTTTTCCCTTTCTTAGGAAAAAATAAATAAATCTGCACATCCCTAACTGCAAAACTTCCCTGTTTCTGCTCCTTCTTTTCATTTTTCTTTTCTTTCCTCGCTCTGAGATGTGAGAGTAAAGAGAAATCATATCACATCACATTGTGTGAATACATCAA